TGATTGGAAATATCATTCTGGAGGTAATGGCATCAGGTGCACTGGGGCCAAATCAAGCCAAGCAGCTCGAGAACTTACGAAATGAACTGGACGCTTGGTACAAGAGCCATCCAAACATGTACCGCATCAGAGGGGCCATCACGATGGAACGATTGAGGTCAACTAACGATTGGCCTAAATTCAAAGGCAAGGCAGCTTCGAACCGACACCTCGTCCAGTGGTTAGCGGAGTTTGCTGCTAAGCATAATTCAGGATCGACGCATGATAACCGACGTTTGGCGTGTGCCCAGTTGCTTGCGGAGTATTACAGAATCATAAAAGCAGAGCCTCGTTTCATGTCGGATTCAGCAAAATCGAGGATCGAGACTTGTTGCACACATTTTTTGGCCATCTACAAAACATTGTCTCGAGAAGCATTGAACGCGTCTTTGAGATTTTGGAAGTTTTCTCCGAAATTCCATTTATTTCAGCACGCTTGCGAGCTGCAGCTATGGATTAACCACCGATTCACATGGACATACAGCGACGAGGACTTGCAAGGCCACGTAAAGCATTGTGCAATTTCATGCCACCCTTCCACAGTTAGTCACGTTACGTTGCAGAAATGGTTGGTCAACACGTTTTAAACGTTGAGTCGCCTCCAGAGGAAACACAACGTGGTCAGCCTCCTTGTCCATCCTCCTCCATAGCATGGCATAGCATATCATAGCACAGCACAGCACAGCACAACACAGCACAGCACAGCATAGCATAGCACAGCACAGCACAGCACAGCATAACATAGCATAGCATATCATAGCGCAGCATATCATAGCATAGCACAGCACAGCATAGCATAGCATAACATAACGCAGCATAGCATGGCATATCATAGCATAGCATCGCAACTAATGCTGCTTTCCTAGGGGGAGGGGGAGGGGGAGGAGGTAAAGGAGGCTGCTGTCGACCAGATGGCGCTGACCACGGTGCGGCGCGCGGCCGCCCCCCCGCCAGGGAAAGGGAGAGCAGGGAAAAGGGCGAAGGGAAAGGAGGAAGAGAAGGAGGAGGAGGAGGAGGAGGAGGACCAGGAGGAGGAGGAGACGGAGGAAGAGGAGGCGGAGGAGGATGAGGGAAGAAATAAGGATAAGAGGAAGAGGGGGAACATCATGAGGAGGCGAGCGTAAGAAGAATATAATATCATGAGAAGAAGAGGAGGATGAGGGGAGGAGGAACGAGGAGGAACGAGGAATGAAGGTTTTCATATATCACCGCCCACAAGAAAGCTCAAAAAAGCAAACAGACGACACGCTCTACGAAATCCAAATAATAAGGATACGAACTCTTTTTCTAGGCTGAAATGCAAGCTTTAAGGGTTGGTTTCTCTTGAATCAGACGCGCTCGACCTTCTTTTCATATTGTTTTCAAGGTCGTGTGAGTGGTTTCAGACGCCTGCTCCTGATTTCAAACGTTTGCGAACCTCGGGGACCAATACCCCGGGTTCCCGGGTTCCCGGGAACCCAGCCGGCTACCAAAATCGGCGGGAAACTTGCGCCAAATAATCTTTCAACATCCGCTCGGACCCCTCCAGTGCAAGCACGGATTGGGGAATTTTCGCGTGCCCGAAACCATAAACCCTCGAAAATTACGCCACTCGCATTGCCGAGGCCAAGAGTGCTCCAAGGCGCCCGAAGATGGTTCCAAGACGGCCCAAGAGGGACCAAAGAGGCTCCAAGAGCGCTCCAAGAGGCCTCCCAAGAGAGCCCCGAGAGGCCAAAATCGTAGAGTTGATTGCGGTTTTTGAAAGAGTTTGACCTTCTCGCATTTTCGGCTTTCCGACGCTCCAAGACGGCTCAAGAAGCTCCCAAGACCGCCCCAACACGGCCCAAGACGCCTCCAAGAGGGCCCCAAGACGGCCCAAGAGGGCTCCAAGAGGGCCCCAAGACGGCCCAAGAGGGCTCCAAGATTGCCCAAGAAGCACTTAAGACAGCCCAAGAGGGCCCCAAAACGGCCCCAAGAAGGGCCCAAGCAGGGGACCACGAACCGAACATTCAATATTTGTGCCCCGAAAAACGCCCAGGATGCCCCAAGATGCCGTCAAGAGGCCCCAAGAGGCCCCAAGAGGCGCCTAAGACGCACCCAAGAGGCCTCCAAGATGCCCCAAAGATACCACACGAGGCCCCAAGATGCCCCCAAGATGCGCCCAAACCGCCTCCAAGGGGCACCCGAAAGGCTCCCCACAACACCCCAACACATATACAAGAGGCCTTAGACCCACAACCCAGGCACGGTAGCGGGATGGGCCGAATGCCACTAGGATCCGCCGCCCCCTGTCGATTCATCGCAGGGGTGCCTGGCGTGCTTGACGATTTCGGTTTTGTTTTGGTTCTTTTTCCAAAAGAGCTCTCCCAGAGGGTTTCGGCCCGTCCCGCCGGGGTACTGGGAGGCTCTTCCAGGAGCACAAGGTCCCGAACAAATCCTCCAAGACGGCTCAAGATGGCGTCCAAGATGGCCAAGATGGCCCAAGATGGCCTCCAAGATGGCCTCCAAGATGGTCCAAGATGACCTCCAAGTCCGCCCAAGATGGTCCAAGACGGCCTCCAAGACGGCCCAAGAGAGTCCAAGACGGCCCAAGAGGCCCCCCAGAGGCCTCCAAGACGGCCAAAGAGGCCTCCAAGAGGTCCTCCACGAGGGCCCGAAGAGGCCAAAATCATTGACTTTCCAAAGGTTTTTGACAGATTTTAGGGATTTGCTTCTTCTCGGCATTCCGACGGCTCAAGACGGCCCAAGAAGCCCCCAAGATCGCCCAAGAGGCCCCCAACAGGGCCCCATGACGGCCCAAGTGGCCTCCAAGACGGCCCCAAGAGGGCCCCAAGACGGCCCAAGAGGCCTCCAACACGGCCAACATGGCCTCCAAGACGCCCAAGATTTGGCCCAGAAAGGCCCCCAAGACGGCTCCCGACGGCGTCAGACTTGCCAGGAACCCACCAAGATTGCCGAAATTGGCTCGAATAGCTGGCCCAAGGCGGCCCTAGATGCCCCCAAGAGGGCCTCCAGGAAGGCCAGAAGAGGCCAAAAACATTGATTTGTCTAGGGCATTCGACGGATTCTTCTTTTCGGCCTTCCGACGGCCCGAGACGGCCCAAGAGCTCCCAAAGGTCGCCGAAAGATCGCCCACGAGGCCTCCAAGATGGCCCCAGAACGGCCCAAGAGGCCCCCAAGACGGCCCCAAGAGGTCCCCAAGGCGGCACACGATGCCTTTCAGACACCCAAGATGGCCTCCAAGACGGCCCTGGAGCATTCCAAGAGGGCCCCAAGTCGGCCCATAGAGGCTCCCCAAACGGCTTCCGACGGCGTCAGACGGACCAGGAGCCCACCAAGACGGCCGAACATGGCCCTAAGATGGCCCAAGACGGCCCAAGCGGCCTCCAAGAGGGCCTCCAGGGAGGCCCGAAAAGGCCACAATCATTGATTTGCCATGGGTTTTTGAAATATTGTGGCATTTGCTTTTTTTCTGCCTTCCGACGGCCCGAGACGGCCCAAGTGCCCACAAAGATCGCCCAAGAGGCCAAAGACACGGCCCCAAGAGGCCCCCAAGACGGCCCAAGAGGTCTCCAAGACGCTCAAGATAGCCTCCAAGACGGCCCAAGAGCCCTCCAAGACGTCCTCCCAGAAGGCCCGAAAGGGTCAGAATGGCCTCCAGACGGCCAAGATGACCTTCAAGATGCCCACGTGTTCCCCGAAGGCTTTCCAAACCGATTCGGGGAACACATGGTCCGATAGCTTGGCAGGCCTCTGGCCACAACCTTTGGCCACATAGGCGCTTCCAAAAAGGCAGGGGGCGGCGGTGATTCGCCGTAGGCGTCTTCGATCCGCCGCCCCCCGTGCTTGTCACAGGGGTGCCCGGCGTGCTGGACCCTTTCGGTTTTGGTTTGGGTTCGGCCCGCTGGGGCTTCGGCTCGTCCCGCCGGCCACGCGGAAAATGCTACAGTCAATGCCTTTCACGCCCAAGATGGCCCCAAATGGACTCCAAGATGCCTCCAAGACGGCCAAGATGGCCTCCGAGTCTGCCTAAGATGGTCCAAGATGGCCTCCGAGACGGCCCAAGAGGGCCCAAGATACCTCCAAGTCCGCCCAAAAAGCCTCTAAGACAGCCCAAGACTGCCCAAGAGGTGCCCACGAGGTCTCCAAGACGCCCCAAGAGGCCTCCTAGAGGTCCTCCAGGAGGGCCTGAAGAGGCCAACATCATTGATTTCATCATCAACTTCCGGAGGTCCGCGCGGACTTCTTGGATCTGCGCTGGGCCCCCTCTCTGGCGCGCGGAGCGCGCCAGGGGCGGCGCCGGAGGCGCCACTGGGGGGGCCCATCGCCAATCCAAACGATCCGCGTGGACCTCCGACAGTTTATGTTCGTGGAAAGTGTTCTGCATGGAAGTCCGCTGCTCGCGCGGGCTATCCCAGCAAGGCGCAGGAGCGGGGCAGGGACACGAGGGACGCACTATTTTTTCCGTCGGCGGCGAGGCAGGGTCGGTCCGCACCAGCGTGGGGCGAATCGGGGCAACCGATGGGCAAATTGTCCGGCGTGCAAGAGGCACGAGGGACCTGCGATAGCGCAGTCCGCACGGCCCGCTCCAACAGCCCCGAGCTCAAAGCTCTGCGGGTTCTTTCGGGGGGGCGGTAGGACGAAGCCAGGACGAGGATAAATGCGGGGGAGGATCGGTCGAACATCTCTGGTGAACGTTTTCTTATCCGGCGTTTCGGCATTGGGCGGAAAGGGGTGGAGGGGGGGTCTGGCTCTGGACCTCTGCTTAGTGCGACCGTTTGCAGCAGTGCGTCCTATGGGGGAGATCCCATCTGCTCAAAACAAGCGCCAAAAACTGCCAGGATCTTCTCCAGGGGGTGGAGTGCACGGTTTCCCCTGGGGCCGTAGGCGACCCGAGGAGGAGGAGGAGGAGGAGGAGGAGGAGGAGGAGGAGGAGGAGGAGGAGGAGGCGGAGAAGCAGGAGGAGGAAGAGGAGGTGGATGAGGGGGCGGCGGCGGCAGCGCTCCATGAGAGTCCAACGTCAGTTCGGACTTCGGAGTATTGTGGGGTTACCCCCTCACCTCTGTAAGCTCGGCACCACACGACACGTGGGACACGAACGGCATAGCCCGAGCTTCGGGCGTAGCCCGTGTACGGCCATTGCCGAAGGGTGCGCACAGGGTCCACCAGCAAGCAGCAACGACGCGGAAGACAGGGAGCGAGCGGGCGCCATTACAAGCCGAGGGAGGCGAAGGCCCCTGCCTAGGCATCCGCACGCGGACACCGAGGAAAGAGCAGTTCACACAGCCCCCAGCCAGAGATGGCCCCCGAGGGGGGAGGAGAGGCCGACGGCCCAGGAGGAGCGGGACGGGCGAGAGGAGGGAGGAGGGACGAAACGACCACAGGATGGACCCACGCCGCAGCCCAAAAAACTCAGAGACACAACGTCTGCCTCTATGCGACTGAGACGAGGACGCACAAAAACTCATGTCACAATCTGCCACGTGTAGAACTCGCTAAACTGCCTGCAAGTTCAATCTCGGTCGCCCTCCTTTCGGGCGCGCGCGTATCACAAGAGGCCCAAGCACGGGTCGGGCTTCCTGCCCTACCTGCAGCCCCAAGTGGCACAACACATTACAGGCAGACAAATCGAGCAACGCTGAGCCACTGGCCCTCACTATGGTCACTTGCGTCAGTGCCGACGCCTCCTTTCGCCACCAATCACAGGACGACACCAGCAGGCCACACTCCTATGCCGCCATCGTCTCGAGGATCTTCTGGCCCTCGATCCCTAGATGGCCCGCAGGGCGCGGACCAGACCATGCCGTCTTCTTCTCAGCAACTTCCACCGCGCACAAGATTGTGTGCTCCAGCTTCTCGTTCTTCATCGCGATGGTGAGCCTCTTCTTCTTGCTGTCGTGCATCTTCTCCGTCCTGAAGAGGCCAACCATGTGCTGGGCCTCTCGACTACCAGGCTTGAACTTCGCCAAGTGTTCCGTCAGCTCGCCCTTGACCTCAGCTGAGGCCGTCTCCACCAGCGTGCTGCATGCGGCCGTAAGGTTGAACGTGTCAGGTGGGCCGAGACCATGCCTACTCCTGTCGCGCACGCGAGGGAGGCACTCCTCGTTGTGCGCCTTCTGCATTGCTTGCCATAGAGTTCCTTCCGCACTGATCCCACACTGCGACGTGCATGCCGCCCAGAGGAGACGAAGCTTCTGATGTGCAATCGCACCCAGGCGCAAAGAGAGGTCGATATTTGTCTTGTCCTCTGTATTCCCAGCCTTCGCGCATCTAACTGCCCGGCTTTGCGGTGCCGCCGACGCACCTCCAGTGCCCGCCGTTGCAAACTGCTCAGCCCACATGGCGCCACACGGGGCCACTGGGAGAGAACCTTAGATATCGTAATCAGACACCTCCGAGCCACGATAGCGACAACCACAACATGTGACGTCCTAATTATCACGCAATGTTTTCCCCAGGTGTGCCCTGGCCTCGATATGCGATGCAAACTCGATGTCACCTGTTCACATGGACCCGGGGGGTATACAGCGCGCGTGATGACGGCCACCGGGCCCCTGAATTTCGGACATACCCCCCGAGCGATACTGACTGCAAGTGCTCCGGAGCATATCGACGGGTAAGAGTAGCGCATTCTCGCATTTAACACATTTTTTGGCCACTGTAAGGATCTTAGCGAGTCTTTTTTTCCATGGCCTTCTGCTTTTGAGTTGGCTCGGCGCAACAATAGCCGCCTGCGAGAACAACATTCCACCCCGCAACCCACGATGCCGCGCACATATGGAGCGGGAACTGGAACTTCGGGAACGTATTCAAGGCCAGGGGGCTGCTGTACCTGCACCTCACCTCCTGGTGGATGTCCTCCCGCTACCTCCTCCACCCCCTCCATCGCCTCCACCTCCTCCGTGTGGATATCCCCGAACGTCCTCGGTCCTCCCTCCGCTCTCATGACCTGCGATGCCTTCGCTGACAGGAAGGCGCCCCTGACCTGTGAACTGCAAAAAAGATCCACTGGCCTTTGGAGTAGTGCGGGTCGCACTTCGGATATGCCGAATTCGATGATGCATACAGCCCAGCAGGTCGCGCAGATTGTGCTGGTCCCAAGCCGCGTATCCAAAAATCTCTGCCAGCACTAGCAGATGCTTTTCTGGTGCTCTCACCAGTTCTGGCCACAGGCGAATCCTCCACGCTCTCAACGTACGCTAGGGGCACTTAATCTCATCTCCTTTCGGATCTCCGCGCTGGGGAGTGCGCGGCGTCGTTTTGGGCAGCCGCTGGCGGCTGCAATCTGCAAACATCCCTTGCCCTGCGTAGCGCGCCGAGCAAGATGCGCCAGGATTCCCCCCAACCTCTGCAAGTCAGGCTCTCCGAGCGGGTAGGCGACAAGCCCCGGCAACAACGATCCTTTCACCGTGCTTTTCATCGCGGCCGCCCTTTTTACCTCGCGTTCTTCTTTTCAGACCAAAAACTTCCTAATGCTGCAAGCGCTTGCCTAGCGCGCCGAACGCGTAAGTCGACGTCTGACTTCGAACTTCCCTGGAAGTGCAGTCGACCCCCTACGCACTTGGCGCCCTTTTTCGCCCTCGCCAACATCCAGTTCTGATCACGGCACAGTCTCCTCATGCCCTCCTGCGTCCCCTTTCCCGCCAGGTGAACGAGCGATTCTTGCTTTTCACCGGGTAGTGCAACTCCTATCTCCCCCAGCTCCGCTCCCAGCGCTTCATGCTGCGCCAGCGTTCGTTGCCCGCCACGCGTCGCGTCGTTCACCGCCGAGGCACGCGCAATGTCGCCCGAAAAACTGGGGGCAGGAATATCCATGCATTCTCTCGACTTCTGATTCAAGAGCACTCCCCCATCAGGGCAGTCAGCCAAGCAATGCCGAAACCACTTCATCTGCACGTAGAGGCTGCTGGCATCAGAATCCCGATATACATCTAATGGCTCATTGTCGGCCCCCAGGAGCCATATGCATGAGCTAGTATCACCAGGTAGCGTGCCTTGTCCTATACGCACTACCAGCGTGACGCTCGTGAAATCGATCGATACTTGGGCAAATCTTACCCTCTGCTTAAAAAAGTGCTCGTCCACGCGCGCGTGCGGGTATCCGTGTTTCACACGATGGAAGGCGTTCGTAGCATCGTACAGCGTGGTGAGCCTACCTATCTTACTACCATGCAAACGCGACGCACACACACACACACACACCTTGCGCGAAAATAGCTCCTTCTCTCCGTCTACCCTTAAGGTGTCCGAGCGAGTGCGGTCTGCCTGCTCCGCAGCACTCCGTAGTATATCTTCCCGAAAGTGTCCAGCGAATGCACAGGCCTCTGGCCCTTGGATTCGCTTTTCAGTGGAGCTTATCAAGCGAAAAAGCTTTGCTCTGGCGCCGCTGCAAAGGGGCTCCCCCATGATGGCGATCCGCCGCGGATCGCCGCACGTATCCACGTTAAACATTTGTTAATGCTAAGAAAGTACAAGTCTTCCTCCTCGTTCGCATCATCCGGCACGTCAGCGGCCCTATATCGGAACTCATTTGGCCGCGCCAGCAGCCTCCGCACACCTCCAGGAATGCTCCAATCCGGCGGGGGTATTTTCAGCCTGGCTCTGCGCATCTTTCCGCGCACTTCTACGCAGTCATCCGTGCCCTGCTGAATTGTATTGATAGTCGGGCCCCCTCTGGGCCCTCTCTGTTGCCCGCGCTGCTCCTCTTCCCCCTGACACAGAGGCTTTGCCAAACCAGCCTCCCTCGCTCCCTGGCTGCTCCAGGGAGGTTTCCCACGTCTCGCGTTCGAGTCGCGTCCGAGGGGCGCGACAATTCCTCAGTTTCAAGCCCGAAATGTGACGCGCAAGAAGACGCGATAGCTTCTAGCGCAGTGCAGTGTCGCTCTTCCTCTTTGCTATGCGTAATTCGCTCGCATGCAATCCAGTGCTCCTAGCCCGATCGCGCCTCAACTGCAATCGTTTTTTTTGTGTGTCGCGCATCTGACAGCCATGCGCGACGCTCGCCAGGCACGCGTGCGGCTCGTAAACTTCGTCGCGCGCTCTCGAAACCGAACGCGCGAGCCCCAAAAACCTCTCGGGCAAACATTCGCGCGCTCCCTTCCCGCCCCAGAGGACCCAGTCAGTAAACTCCACGCGAGGACACTCCCCCCGGGGAAGAGGGGGAGGGAGGGGAAGCAGAAAGACGCCCCTCAACTTCCGCGGTTCCCGCCTGCGCTCCAGTCTCGCCTCTGGCGCGCGCTGGGTGTCGAGCGGTCGCGAGCCTCGCTTCACCTGCCTTTGAAAACCGCATGTGCTTTCTCGAGCACTCTATTGTATACTTCTCGGTACATCTCATCGGATCCTCTAAGACGCATCTCCTGGACGTCTGGCGCGATCGCCCCCAGGGAAATATCCGCAGCTGATGAAACAAATCCCAAGAGTCCTGGCCGAAACGGATGCACCTAGACAGCTTGTCATGATCCCATGCGTTCGCAGCCTGAGGCTTGAACTCGACACCGGGGCCCGCGCGGAAGCGCAACGCGAGCGGAAAATGGTCACGCCTGGTCCTAGTGTTGATTATCTGCAGCCTATCTCCAGCCCTCGCCCACACCTCACACGCCTCCACATGCGCAAGCACCGCTGTTAGTGCACACGCGTAGTCGATCCTAGACGCGTGCTCGCCCGAGCCGTGGTAGAACGTGGGTCCAGGCTCATAATAGGAGTTGAGCGCGCACATATGGTGATGCTCGAGCACTTCTCTGAAACACTTTCCATTGTAGTTTTTGTCGTCTGCGCCCATCGTGCCAACATGCGAATCCGACTCGACCGATCCGATACGTGCATTCGCGCCTATCAGGAGTACTGGAACAGTGCGTGACGGCAACACATCCAAGAGCTGTGTAACTCCCTGCCAGAAATGTTTGCACTTCATTTCTTGTGCCCTACGATCTTTCCGCGCACCATGTGGTTCAGTATGAGCATAGCCGACAATAAATGTGAAATCCATGTGCTTGCTTTTGCATCTGACCGCCCCCCAATCGTCCTTCCCATCCCGATGGTGAGTAAATCTGCCTGATCATGATACCCTGCACAAATCTATCGTTTAACAACAACGCTAAACCAATAGGCCTGCCCGATGATCCCCCTGCACGCGGCCATCTGAATCTGTGAAATCTGCCGGCTCTGTCCTGTTGACACACCAGCTCACGTGCTGACGAACACTGGGTTCCCTGCAGTCCAATCGCAGTACATGGTCAAAGGTCTTGCGCAAAATAATACCACCGTCCCTCCTGTCGCAGAGAAAGCACGTTATAGCTGCAAGAGTTGAGCCTATGAATTGCGCGCGCGGCCGCCCGAACTTTTACACCTTGGGGGGGTGTGTCGGACGCGCGGCTGCGGCACCTCGGGGGCATCTTGTTGCCCCCGCATTCAGAATCCCTCGGGCCGCGCGGGGTTGATGAGGGGGCGGAGGAGGAGATGGACGAGGAGGAGAAGAAGGAGCAGGAGGAGGGAGGAGGAGGAGGAGGAGGAGGAGGAGGAGGAGGAGGAGGAGGCACACACACGCGCGCGCACGCACGCACGCACGCACGCACGCATCCACACACAGAGGCTACACACATCACATACACACCACCCACACCACACAGATCCCACACACACACACACACACCACGCACCACAGACGCCACGCACACCACACACCCATCACACACACCACACACACTACATACATCACACACGCAAGCACACAAGCACACAAACACACAAACGCACACATAACACGCAGAAAACACACAAAACACGCAAACACACAAACACGCAAACACACACCACACACACAAACACACACTCGCACATACACACACACTCGCACACTCGCACACACACACAAACACACACACACCCACCCACACACACACACTCGCACACACACACACACACACACACACGCACACACACACACACACGCACGCACGCACGCACGCACGCACGCACGCACACAACACACTCACACACTCACACACACACAGACACAGACACACACACACACAGACACAGACACAGACACAGACACACACACACACACGCACACACGCACACACGCACACACGCATACACGCATACACGCACACACGCACGCCCACGCACGACCACACACGCCCACACACGCCCACACATGCCCACACACGCCCACACAGGCCCACACAGGCCCACACAGGCCCACACAGGCCCACACAGGCCCACACACGCCCACACACGCCCATACACGCCCACAAACGCCCACACACGCCCCCACACACGCCCACCCACGCCCACCCACACCCACCCACACCCACCCACACCCCACCCACATTCAACCACCACCACCCACCCCCACACACCCACCCACAAAAACACACACACCCACACCACCCA